AATATTTATGGTCTCAAGAATGGAAGAAGCTCCTCCATAGGAGCAACCTATCCCAACAGAGAATCCTCTTAGATATTTTATATGGTACCCATTTTTTCTTTCTTTTTTTTTTTTAATATTTATTCTTAAGTTTTCGGTGGACACAATATCTTTATTTTACATTTATATGGTGCTGAGGATCAAATCCAGTGCCTCATGCATGCTAGGTGAGCGCTCTACCACTGAGCCACAACCCCAGCCCCCCATTTTTTCTTAAAAACCAATGTAAGGTTGCTCTCGGTACCACCTAGTGATGAGAGTCCTGGGGTTAGAACAGAGCTCTGACTACTCATTGTATAACTTGCCACTGCATTCTGTCCTTTCCATAGAGTATTTTATGATCTCTGAAATCATACTCCTAGCCTGAGAACCGGAAAAGCAGAGGATAGTGTCATTTTGAACTTTTATTTATTTATTTGGCTTAAAGAATTAGCAGGATTTTGCCTAATGAAGAGGACAAAGGGGAGGGACACACTGAGACAAGAGGAAAAATGCTCAGAATGCATGGGGGAGGCAGGAACTAGAAAAGTAGGTAGGAGTCATATCATAATAGGCGTGGATACCCAATTGAGGAATTTGAATTTTATTATAAAATTTTTACTATAAAAAATGAGGAGCCACTGGAGGATTTTGAGAAGAGGACTGATATGGACATATATTTTCTTGTTGTTAGGCTCACCCAAGGGTAGACAGGATACTGCACTGGAGGAAACCCAGGGTTTAATGCAGACAAACATAAGAGGCTGTTGCTGTAATCTCAGTGAGAAATGATGAGAAGAATATAAACCATCTGAGAGGTAGAGGGGATGGAGAGCAGAGGACCTATTTGAGAAATATATTGTGAATAAAAATCATACACTTGACTACTGATTAGACATGTGAAAATGGAAAGCCAAAGTCTTTTCTCCCAGTTTCTTCCTTATTTGGGCAGTGGCACTATTGAGCATGGCAGGACATGCAATAGAAGCATATTGATTTTTTTTCTTCAAGGGAGGCTGGGGAATATGATGAGTTTAGTGTTAAATGGTGCATCTGAGACCTAAAAGGAATCCAAGTGGAGAGTTGCACTAGTCAGTCAGTTGATTCTGCGCTTTTTAGTCTGAAGAAGTTTGCAAGACCATTTCAAAATTGTGTATCTGGCAACCTCACAGAATAGGCATTTTTCCAATTTGGAAAAATGTCATTTTGCATGTTCAGTAAACACTGAAAATACAGAGGTTTAGAGTTAATAAAACATTGTTACTTACTGCCAAACTGACACTAAAGAACGATTTATTTCTAATTTCTGATTTCTTATTTCTTACTACAGTAAGCTAAAGTACAGGTTGCAATGGGTTGCTTCCTTACACTGGAAAATTAGTGGTGTGTCTGGGTGTTTAGATCTAGGAATTCCTTTCAGCAGATTTGAAGAGCAAAAGCTGAGAAACAACACCCTTCAGTGGCAGTGGAATGAGAGGTCTGTAGCATCTTTTTTGGTTGGTTTTTTGTTTGTTTGTTTGTTGTTTTTGGCACCAGGAATTGAACCCAAGGGCACTTAACCACTAAGTCACATCCCGAGCCTTTTTATTTTTTATTTCAAAACAGGATATCTCACTGCGTTGCTTATAGCCTCACTAAATTGTCGAGACTGGCTTCCAATCTGCAGTCCTCCTGCCTCAGCCTCGCAGGATGCTGGGAATACAGGTGTGCATCACCACACCTGGCTCTCGCACCCTTTTTACCACCAAAGTTCTGTGAAGAAATGCAATTTATGGGGCATCAGAAGGCCAAAACACTTATACTGCTAAACCAAAAAAACAAATGAATCCTCCCAGGGCCAGGACTCTTACCTGCCATGTTGACTGAAGGAAAATTTCACTTATTTAGCAAAATGAGACACCAAATTTAATAGTTGGCAGTAAGTCCCGTTCAGCAGCAACTGAACATACTGCAAGCCAGACAGCAATATCATTTTTGTAGAAAGTATAATTACAAGTAAATGTAGGGCTTTTTGTTTGTTAGTTTTTGGTTTTTGTTTTGGTACCAGGGATTGAACTCAGCTGTAATCAACCACTGAGCCACATCCGGAGCCCTATTTTGTATTTTTTTTAGAGACAGGGTCTCATTGAATTGCTAAATGCCTTGCTTTTTGCTGAGGCTGGCTTTGAACTTGTGATCCTCCTGCCTCAGCCTCCCTAAGTAAATATTTTCTTAACCTTTATTTTGAAATAATTTGAGAAGTACAGAAAAGTTGAAAAAATAATACCAAGAATTATCTTCTGCAACTTGCTCACACGTTAATATTTTGCCTCTTTTTCTTTTTTCTGAATAATTTTAGAGTATATTCATAGACATGATGCCTGAATACTTCAATGTATATTTCCTAGCCAACAAAGACATTCTGTTACCTGACCATAGTGTGGCTGACCAAGTCCTATATCTACTCTACAAATCATATTCAAATTGGGCCAGTTGTCCTATTGCTATCTTTTAATGCTAAGGAAAAGAAGATGTTTTTAGTTTTTCTGGGGCAAGATTACTGTGGCATTCAGTTGACATGTCTTGTTTGTCTTTAATCTGGAATAAACAGTTCCTTTGCCCATAATTTTGAAGAGAACAGGTCATTTGTTTTGTACAGTTTCCCTCAGTTTGGGTTTGTGTAATGTTTCCTCCTGATTAGATTCCAGATATGCGTTTTGGGGTCAGGAATACTACAGAAGTGATGTTTGTTCTTCTCAGTGGATCATATCAGGAAGCACATAATGTTGGGATGCCTCATCCCTGAAGAGAAATTTGATGAGTTGGTTTGGTGAGGTCTGTCAGGTTTCTCCATTGTGAAGTTACTATTTTCCTTTTAATAATTGATAAGTTTCTTATGACAACATATTTGAGATTATGAATATTGTTTCTCATTCAAACATTTAGCCACTAGTTTTAGCATTCATTGACATTTGCTTGAGATGATTACTGTGATGGTTGCCAAATTTTTTTCTAATCCCATCATTTCTTCTGTAGTGTTTTCTCTTTCCCTTATTCTCTCTGCCTTCCATGCTATGATTCATTTTCATTTTGTTTTGAAGTTTATGCTCTTTACAAGTATATTACACACTGAAGTTTCAATAAGTAAAGACTATGAAACTCTGTTCATTCAAGTCTCATCTCTCATTTCCAATAGTAGTGTTTTATTTTTATTTTTTATTTGCTATTGTTTATATCTTTGAAGCTCCTTTCTTGGCTTCTGTTTCTAGTTTTCTAATTTCAGAATTTTGCTTAGAGCTCTAATTTTTTTTTCCTTTAAATGATAATAAGAATTAAGAGAAAAATTACCTAAAGTTACGGCAGTGATTTCACTGATCTGTATCTTTTGATGGATGTTGCATCAGAATTTTGTACATGTCAATTAAATCAATGTTTAAAAAAATGTTAGCCTGGTGTGATGGCATATGCCTGTAATCCCAGCAACTCGGGAGACCAAGGGAGGGGACTGCAAATTCGAGACCAGCCTCAGAAATTTAGCAAGGCCCTAAGTAATTTAAGCAAGACCCTGTCTCAAAATTGAAAATAATAATAATAAAAAGGACTGGGAATGTGGCTCAGAGATTGAGCACCCCAGTACCCCTCACCAAAAATGTTTAAGCCTTAGAAGAGGTGGAGAGAAATGACTCAGAAGGAAAGTTAAGCATGCACAGCCATTTGTGGTTGGTCAGAGTCTCCCACCCAGTAAACTTGATACAGGTTCAGCATTACTTATCTGAAAATCTGAAATCCAAAATGCTTCAAAATCTAAAACTTTCTGAGCATCAACATGATGACTCCAGTGGAAAATTCTACACCTGATCTCATGTGACAGGTCATACTCAAAATGCAGGAACACTAAAAAATAGTTGTATAAAATTATATTCAGTTTGTGTTAAGGTATATGTGAAATGTAATAAATTTTATTTTTTAGGCTTGGATCCCATCCCTGAGATATTACATTATATATATGCAAATATTTCAAAATCTAAAAAATCCTGAAATCTGAGAAATTTCTGTTTCCAAGCATTTCTAATAAGGGATACTCAACATGTACACAGCCCCACTTCCTAAGCTGCAAAGGCATTTGTCACGGTGTGCACATTCTGCCATTGTTCTGTCCCATTTTAAAAATTTCTTCTGCTTTTAAGATGAAGAAAGTTTTTGTTGATTATACTTAAATTTGAGATTCCCTTCAATTTCTACTCCTTGTGACTAATAGCAAATTTCCTGAAGTCGTATAGAAGTCTCTTAGCCAGGCATGGTTGGTACATACCTGTAATTCAAATTGTCATTGGTGATGATCCCTTTTCTCTTCCCTTCTGTGATGAGGAAGATTTTAAAAAACAAAGCAAAACTTTCTGAGAGGTTTGAGAAGAATTTTATTTATGATATCTAGAATGGTTAGAGATTGAGATACATCTAATTTTCTGATATTTTCCCCTGAAATAAGATTAAAATTATATTGCAACAATTTGTCTTTTTAATTCAGAAGTCACTTATAGGGTTTTGTTTGCATCTGTAATTTGGCCTTTTTTACCTATTATTATTCAGACTTGAAAAACTTGACTGATTTTTCAAGTTTGAATTCTAGAGATGTAAAAGTTTGCATTGAATTTACTTAAATTTGAGGTTTCCTTCAGTTCCTAATCTTTATGACTGCTAGCAGATTTCCTGAAGTCTCAGCCAGGTGGAATGGTGCACACCTGTAATCCCAGCCAGCTATTCTGGAGGCTGAGGTAGGAGGATCACAAGTTCAAGGCTAGCCCAGGCAATTTAGCAAGTCTTACCTCAAAAGTTAAAAAAAAAAAAAAAAAAAGGGAGGGGGTGGGCTGGGGCCTGTGCTTGCCTAACTTGCAAGCACCTGAATTCAGTCCCCAGAACCACAACAAAAAGTTTCTCAAAGAATAATATTCGTAATTTCATGTATCTGAATATTCCCTGACTCCTGGATTTTCTTACTGTAGGAGGACCTCCTGATGCAGAACAGCAAAGAACTTTTACATGCAGACCTCCCTGAAGATTTTCTAAGGAGCAAAGGTATCTATTTCTCTGAATTGTTTCCTTTTCCCACTTACTACACATAGTGTTTTAGTTCACATTTCCATTTTGTATTCAGAACATAAAGGCTCTAATAGGTCCCTGCTAGTTGCAGGATGACCTAGTTATAGAAATATTGCCCATGAATGTACCTGACTGAACATACCTATTATCAGGCAGTGTCTTACTTTTTATGAAAGTTTGATTCCCTTTTATTTTTCCTTGAAGTCTTTTATTTAATTTTATATAATCAAATATAATATATTTCCTTGTTTAGAAGGATGAACTGGGACAGGGGAGAAATCCATCCAGTATTGTTCAGCACATGGTGGTTCTCTGGGGTAGGTATGAGAGGAAACATTCACTTGGGTCACCTTGAGAGTTTTCAAGTCAGTTCTATTTTTGTTATTTCATTTTGCTTCTCAAAACAGTGGCTGAGTTTAGGCATCTGAAGGATTACTTCTACATTGATTGGTGGGTGATTAAGAAGGAAGCTAAGATCCAACGGAGGGTATCTGAATAGAGATTCTCCTCCTGTTGCCACCCATAGGCCAAAAATAATCTTAAGAGAGGACTGTCATACCAGAACCTCAAAAAGCCGGTGGGGGGGGGTGGGCAGGGAATAAGTATGTTAAAGAATATAAAAATTTTGTTACTGTGATATAATGTTAGATTTGACTCTCACCACCTTTATAAGTCTGTACAAAAAAAGAAGCATTTGTCCTGTTTTATCACCCTGCTTCCTACTGCTACAGATTTTCTCTGTGGCTCAAAGACTTGACTGTCCAGTATGTGTTAAAGGACACTGCTCTAAAAAGAGAAATACTGTTTTGTCTATAAGTTTCACAGTGTTTTTAGGGCTTACAGGGGATTCAGTATAGTGGCCCCCAACTCATCCCTAAGATCTTTTCATGGGGATTCCAGTATGACTTAATCTTTGGCATTTTTTTCACCCACATCCTTCCATAAGATTTATGTTGTTTGTGTTGAACTGCACTTTCATTTACACTAAATGACCTTTTTTTTTTTTTTTTAAGAAAAAATATTTTTTAGACATTTATTTTGTTCATTTATTTATATGGAGTGCTGAGAATCGAACTCAGTGCCTCACATATGTTAGGCAAGTGCTCTACCACTAAGCTACAGCTGCAGCTCCTAAATGACCTTTTAGAAGAACCTGAGTTGTGTCCTTTAAGGGCTGAAGCTATACCTCATTGGTAGAACCTTTGCTTAACATGTGCAACATCCTGGGTCAATCCCCAGTACCACACACTGAAAATAATAAATTAATAAATAATCTGCCAGTGATGCACCTGTAATCCCAGCTATTCAGGAAGATGAGGCCGTAGGATTTCAAGTTTGAGGCCAGTGTGAGCAACTTAGCCAGACCCTTTTTCAAAATAAAAAATAATAGATACTGGGGATGTAGCTCAGTCATAGTGCCCTTGGGTTCAATCCCTCCATTACTCAAAAAGGGGAAGAAAAAACAAAACAAAAATTGTCCTTTCAGACTTACGTAGCTACTCTCCACCAAAAAGCTAAAAAGTTAATTCACATAGGACATAGATACAAGTGTCCACAGATAAACTACTCAGATGTACTTTTCTCCTTTTTTGGTACTGGGGATTGAATCCAGGGGTACTTTACCACTGAGCTACATCCTCATCCCTTTTTATTTTTGATTTTGCGGGAAAGTCTTGCTAAGTTGTTAGAGCTTTGATAAATTACTAAGTCTGGCCTTGAACTTGTTATCCTCTTGCCTCAGCCTGGGATTACAGGTGTGCTCCACCACACCAAGTTCTTCCCAATGCCATTTTTCTTCCTGTTCCACTGCTGTTTTTTTTTTTTTCCTTGCTTTTTTTCAGTACTGGAAATTAAACCCAGTGTTTAATACATGCTAGGTGAGCATTCTACCACTGAGCTACATCCCCAGACCACTATTTGTTTTTTTTTAATATCTTTATTTTACTTATTTATTTTATGTGGTACTGAGGCTTGAACCCAGTGCCTCATATGTGCGAGGCAAGTGCTTTGCCCCTGAGCCATAACCCCAGCCCCACTATTCTTCTTTATAATACTACTACTACTACTAGTAGTGAGGATTGAACCCAGGGAAACTTTACCACTGAGCTGTATTCCTAGTCCTTTTTTTTATTCTTTGAGTCAAGGTCTTATTAATTTGTTGAAGCTGGCCTTGAACTTATGGTCCCTCTGCTTCAGTCTCCCAAATCACTGAGGCTACAGATGTGTACCACTCACCTTTTTTTTTTTTTTTTTTTTGTGGTTCCTTGAGGTGCTGGGGATTGAACCCAGGGCCTTGTGCATGAGAGGCAAGCACTCTACCAACTGAGCTATATCTCCAGCACCACCATTCTTTTAAATGACTTAAACTGACAAAATCAGTCATTTGATTTCCCCAACTCACCCCCAAAGCCATGTGTAAGGTTTTCTGTTTGATATGGGGGAGCTAAAAATCAGCAACTCTACTGGAATCTTTAATAGCCTCAATATAATATGTATTAATTCAGTCTCCCAGGAATCTTCCAAGGTATTCCGTATTACACATAAGAAAGCAAACTTAGCTACCCAAAGTCACAGACTGTCATAGCAAGGCAGAGAGGAAAGTTCTGTGAAAGCAAGTTTATGAATACCTCAAGTCTGGGGGATGCAAGAAGTATTTACAACCACCATGGATTTGAATTAACCAGATGTACGTTATCTTTGATAGTGTTAGCATTTCAGCTTGCTTTGCCATGGTCAAGGTCATGCATCTACTGCCTCATCATTTACTATGAAGTTGAAAATTAAATGGTGCTTCTTAGAAATCTACTTCTTGTATTCTTTCTTCAGGGGCTCCACTGCCAAAATTTGTACTCTGCCCCAGGTTGGTTCTCTCTTTTTCTTCCTTCCTTTTTTTCAGGAGGGTTGGAGTGGGATGCTGGGGATTGAAGCCAGGTCCTTGAGTATGCTAAGCACATGCTCTACCATTGATCTATACCCCCAGCCAGGTATTTCCCTTTTTTATTATTTATTTATTTTTTAAACTATATCTCCAGCACTATTTATCTTATTTTGAGACAGAGCCTTGCTAATTGCCAGGCTGGCCTTGAACTTGTGATTCTTCTGCCTCAGCCTCCCAAGTAACTGGGATTACAGGTGTGTGCCACCCCCACCCAACTCCCACAGTCCCCTTTTAGGGCATGCCCCTGATAATCTTAACTTTTCTTTTCTTAAGTGTTCCACTACCTGCCAGTAGTGCCACAGGCTGGGGACCAAGCTTTTTTAACACATAAGTCTTTGGAGAATATATAAGATTCAAACTATAGAACTTCTCATTTTATCTGTTGATATTTATGTCTAACCTATGTTATTATCTTGACAATGTAGCAATATAGTAAGCTTTGAAATCAGGAAGTCTAAGTCTACTTACCTTATTCTTTTTAAAGATTGTTTTGGGTGTTTTATTCTACTTGAATTTTCATATGAATTTTAGAATTAGCTTGCCAACTCCTGCAAAAGTGAGTATTTTTTAGATATAGAGCTAGAAGTCTATGATCATCTCAAGCTGAGTAACATAACTCACAGAATGTTAATTTCATTCTCCAGTGTTCAAATACTTTTTTTTTTTATTGTACTGGGGATTGAACCCAGGGGCACTGTACGCTGAGCTACATCCCCAGCCCTTTTTATTGTTTTATTTTAAAACAGGGTCTCATTAAGTTGCTTAAGTTCTTGCCAAGTTCCAGAGGCTGGCCTCAAACTTGCCATTCTCTTGCTTCAGCTTCCCGAGTCACTGGGATTATGGGTGTGTGCCACCATTCCTGGCTGCTTGTTCCTAATACTTGTGATAGCTTCCCTGATCTTCCAACTCTTCCTTCAACCAGAGTGTAACCCACAACAATCATTAAAATACCATTTCTGTCCTTCCAGTTTCATGGAAGTAATTATTTTTTTCTTTATTTTTCATTATTTATTTACTTCTGTAATAAGGTTTTATGTTGCCCAGGCTAGTCTTGAACTTTTGGTCTCAAGTGATCCTCCTGCCTCAGTCTCCCAAGTAGCTGGGACTGTAGTTCTGTGCCTAGTAGAAGTGGTATATTAAATAATTGAGAAATAGGGCTGGGGTTGTGGCTCAGCGGTAGAGCACTTGCTGAGCGCATGTGAGGCCGTGGGTTCGATCCTCAGCACCACCTATAAATAAATAAAATAAACATATTGTGTCCAACTACAACTAAAAGATAAATATTTTAAAAAAGAAAAATTAAAAATAAATAATTGAGAAATAGTATTACTGAGAGTTTTTTTTTTTTTAATTAAAAAAGTTTTTTTCTTTTTTTGTTTTTTAGTTGTTGTTGGACCTTTATATGCTGTGCTGAGAATTAAACCCAGTGACTCACACATGGTAGGCAAGTGCTATACCACTGAGCTATAACCCAAGCCCATACAGAGGTCTTGATAGAGCTTGTATGTAAGGGAGTAGGAGTTCCAAGGAGTAATAAAAATGGCTAGTATTAACTGAACATGTCCTCTCTGACACTTTTGAGAGTACATTTATTAATTCTTGTAATCTTCATAATAATTCTATACAGTATGTGAGTCTTTATCCATGTATTACAGAGACCAGGTCAGTGTTCCCTAGACTTTTGAAAACTTTGTAATAAAAATAAATTATCTCAAACTCTCCTTTAAAGTTCTCTGAAATTTCAAAATACATGATTAAAAATAAGTCAAAAGAATGGGATTAGTGTAATTTTGCTTTGCAGCTTTATACAACCCTTCTTTCCCACCTAGCCTTCAGCTATATCGCCTGGGAAGTGGTGGTCCTCTGCCTCCTCCCTAAAACTCTTCACTTAAGTTAAGAATGAGTATTCTTCTGCAGGTAGTGGCTCTGAGGGAGAGTCTCACCTGAAGTGCCTTGCACAAAGTAAATCAACTGTAAACAGTTTGGGGATGGATAAAGAGTTTTACAATGTTCTTGAGCAATTATAGTGAGAGGTACAGCTAGGATGGTGTGGAACAAATGGTTTAATGAATGGTATAGCATACAGTAGAAGGATAAAATAAAACCATTTGGAGTACTCATGTTAAGAAATTCATGAGTAGAGTAGCTTTTTCTGCTGTGATAAAATAGACTAGTTTCACGGTAATAAATATTGTGTGGGAAATTAGGATTTCAAGTCTGCCTTTTGTTGATTACTGGTATCTGTGCAAGCTTATGGAATTTAGTATATATTTATCCATCTAGTATTTGCTTACTCCAAATATTTTGGGGGACTAGAGATGTAGTTGAATGGTACAGTGCTTGCCTAACATGTTCAAAGTCCTAGGTTTGGTCCCCAGCACTGCAAAAACTTTTTTTAAGTGGTACCAGGAGTTCTCATATGTTTAACATATCCTCTGCCACTGAGTTACATCCCTAGCCCAGACTCCAAATATATAAGTACTGTTCCAAGCCTAGTTATTATCAGTTGACTACTCTTAGGTGCAGTAAAATAAGGAATCAAAAAGAAAAGCCATCTTTTCTTTATGTGGCAAGCACTGTACCAGGTGGTGTTTTACATGTATTATTTACTTCAGTCCTGCATATAGCAATAAGGTAAGTGTACTAACAATGCTTTTTACAAAGGAGGAAACTTGAGACCCAGAGAGGTAAGTTATCATAGAGTCAAGGGGCTTCAAAGACATCCATAGCTCTTTCTCAGTAATTGCTGTTCTTGGTACTTATTGAGAAATGAGTAGGGAAGCCTAGGAACTCACTGTTAATAACATTTGTTGATATGACCTAACTCTATACATTCATTAATTCTACAAATATTCATTGAGTGTTGTTATATATCAGGCATTATACTGGCCAACAAGGAAGAGGAGAGAACAAACCCAACATAATCTTTATCCTAATACAGTTGGGGGTTTTTGTTTGTTTGTTTTTGTTTTTGTTTTTTTGTGGTGCTGGGAATTGAACCCAAAGCCTTGTGCATGTGAGTCCAGCAGTCTACCAACTGAGCTATATCCCCAGCCCTAGAGTTTTTATTTTAGTGGGAATTCGATTTTTAAATTGATTTTTTTTTTTTTTTTTTTTTTTTGCTTTATCGGTTTAGTATGGGTATGTTGTGTGCATATCTGATGCATATACACACATCTGTGTGTGTATGTGTGTGTGTGTAGCTTTGGATTTGTTTTCTAAAAGGGGAAGAAAGATGAAAATGTATATATATTGTGTGTAGATTAATAATAAATTTGAGGAACTACATTGTACTGCACCCTATACCTAGGATTTCAGAGAAAGTCTGTATATTGAAACTTCTTTATGAATTGTACTGACATTCTGCTAAGAAATATTTTTCTCTTTTAAATGTTTCATAATAGAAATTTTCAAACTTATTCATAAATAGAAAGCATATACTAAATCTCCATGTGCCTGTCACTCAGCTTCAATAATTATCATCTCCATTATATACAGAGACAGTTATTGTAGGTAATTGGGTTCAAAATTATTCAATTTATACATCAATCTTTTTAATATAGTTTTTGTTTTGTTTTTGTGGTACTCGGGGTTGAACCCAGGGATGCCCTACCACTTAGCTAAATCTGCAGCCCTTTTTATTTTTTATTTTGAAACAGGGTCTCACTAAGATGCCAAAGCTAGCCTCAAACTTGTGATTCTCCTGTCTCAAACTGGCCTGTAGCTTTATTAGAGGTGTGCACCACCACACTCTAGTATATGTTGTTTTATGCATAACTTTTTTTTTAAAGAGTAATTTTATCTGTAATGCATCTAAGTCAAAGTAAGAAGATAGTCATCTAATGATATAAGCTATTATATTGTGAATCTGTTCTATTAGTGTTTTAAAATGGAAACTTCTTAAGATTCTGAATTAGGCATGTGTGTCTTTATGTTGTATTTAATTGTCCAGCATTAATTGCTGAATGCTAAGTAACATTTAGAGAAAGTCATTTTGATGGTATGGCACACTAATTTGTGACTCTCTTTTTTTGAATTGGGTATTGTTGCCATTGGTTGCATGATTCATTAAGGTAAAGCAATTTTTTTTATGATTGCATACTGTTTTTAATTTATTTCTCTTGTGCAGAAGGAAAAGTATGGATTACAACTGAAACTCCACTGAAATCTATTACAGATGTACAAGGTATGAAGGTCAATAGGACTAAGACGGATAATAATGAAGGACACAAGAATGGCCATGTGAGTAAAGGTCTCTCAGCTGGGTGCAGCGAATACCCAGAAGTAGACAAAATCATGACCAGTGGTGAGGTTTCAGAAACCAGAACATTAGTTTCCTTAGAGCCTTTAACCTTTGTGGACCCTGGATTAACAGAAGCAACTCCTAAAGAAAAAGAATGTGGAGAATTAAAAACTTGTCCTTCTTGGTTGTCATTATTACCAGGGAACAGTGCCATTTCCAAAGTGGACAGTGGGAAAGAAGAATTGTGTAAATTAAGCCTTGTCTGTGAAGCAGATGACAATCACCAACAGAGTCTGGGCCACCATAATGAAAACTGCTGTTCTACATATGATAGTTCCACAGCTATGGGAAATGTAGATGCTGTAAAACCCTTGGAAGAAAATTATGAAATTTCACATTTCACACCAAGTTTGTCTGATCCAGAATCCAGAACAACATCCTTAGAAAAATGTGGTTTTGAAAGCTATGGTTTGTTGAAGAGATTTGCTGAAAAGACAGACAGTTCCTATTTTTATGAGGATGATCAAAGCAAGAACTTGGCTTCTAGAGAAGAAAGTGAAGAACAACTTTTAAATCCCAGGAGTGAAAGAGATGAACTCTTTCTTATTAAATCCAGGCAACCAGAAAAGGATGCCAGTAATTATTGTTCTGGTGAAAAAGAGAGTGTTAATTCCCCAAAAGAAAATATCCACAATAACTGTTGCATTCAAGGTAGAACCCATACAGACAGCTCTAGTTCTTTAATGCCCAAGGCTTTTACTGAAACCACAGAAATAATGTTAAAAAAAAATGATTTGAAAATCACTTCAGATATTCAGGGTAGCTTTACAAACCCTGAGGACCATAGAGAAACTGTTAGTAATATGAAGCATCCAGGTGGACATTCTGAAGAAAGCAGTTTTTCTTCCTTGGTGCAGAATGAAGAGCCAGAACAGACAACCACTAAAGAATCCAGTTTATTAAGTGAAAAGGTTTATAATAAAGACTCTGACTCCTTAGTCAGCATCCAGAGAAATCTGGAAGGTGACACCCAATTAAATGAAGCATCATGTACTGATTTTCTGTCCAAAAGAAAATGTCGTATGACTTTATTGCCAAAAGATGAGATAAGTTCTGTATGTAATGAAGTATCAAAACCTAAGAAAGATATTGTTCAGTTACCACCATCTCTAGAATTGGATTATAGATCTGAGACAGAAAAAGCTATACAGACCTCACATAACAATAGTTCACATTTAGATGAACAGAGTACTGCCCATGAGATGAGTGAATCTTCTGATATCAACAAATTGGTTGTAAACAAAGTAGAAAATGAATGTGTTTTAAATCAAGTGTCCCTTAATTCTCAAGACCATGTGAAGTTGCCAACCAACTCCCTACTAAATATAAACAGAGAGATGCCTTTAGCCACAAGCAAAGATGCCCAACAGAGCCAACATCCTCCATTAGAGAATGGAAGATCTGTTATTGCTGATGCTCAAATCATTCCCATTACAACAAAAATGAAAGACATCTCTCCACTAGTTGAAAAAACATGTGGTGCCTCTTCAAACAGTCCTACCTTAAACGTCAACCCAGGAAGCCTAGAAAGAAGAAAAGAAATGACTGACTCAGGAACAGAAGATCTACATCCTAGGTTCCTCCCAAGTACAAAAGAAGAATCTGGCTTTCCTCAAGATGTTTCTGTCACAGAATGTCAAAATGTTCAATCTCAGGATATTCTCAGCTGTCATTGTATAAGAAGCAATGCATCAGAAGATAACATGTGTTTTGCTTGTGCTTCTTTTGAATCCAACAAAATCATCCTGAACTCTTCTGTTACAAAATGTGAAGATGGGTTTCTGCATAATGATCACCACTCCCAAGGAATAGAAGACTCCATGGAAAATAGTACCCGTAAATTGAGTTGTACATCAGAAGAGAGTGAAGTTGATAGGAGAGAAACTAAAGGTAGACTTCTGGGAATTAAGATCAGAAATAAAGTGACAGCAGGAGTGTCAGATAGTGGAGCTTCAAACATAACCATTCACACCATTAGTCACATCAAACCCAATGAGGAAGGACTAGAAGGAAAAGAAACAGATATACCCAAAGAGACAGTGTTTTATAAATATAACATCTCTGATTGTGCTACAGGAGAACTAAATCAATCTGCAAACATTCCAAGTCCTGAAACATTGTTGGACAAGGCTTCTACTATTATGTTCTCCAGTTTTAAGAATATAAACCAAACAATTGAAACTCTTGATCAGAAGATAAGTGAAGTCCTTGACTGCCACAGTAACCAAAACAGACCAAATGAGTACAGAGATGAAAATAAATCAGCTGAGGAGGCACGAGATAGTAACCACAGAGAGACCAACATAGATTCTAACAGAGAGGAAAATCACAACAAAAAAGACCTGATAGCCAGTTCAAGCAGTAATAACTCACTGTCTTATGATGGTCCAAAAGAAGGTGATTCAAAAGGAGTCTTTGAAAATATTTCTGGCTCTGCAGAGTTCACAGATGATATCATAGACTTGGTCAATGCTGACTATAATAAAAAGCCTATGGAAGGCATGGTAGACATGAAAGCATTCAGTACACTTAGTGGTGGTGTAAGGCAAGATACACTGGCATCCCATAAAACCTCAAGGAGTACCTCCTCTCAGAGAGGAGAACTGAATGCCACATTTATAGGAACAATTAAACAGGACTCATATCTTCCAAATGCTGCTGCTTCTCCAGTGGAATCCCTTGAAATGAAAAAATCATGTGAGGAGAAAGTATGCAGATCTTTAAAAGACTGTGAAATGGAAGAGTATTCAGATTCTTGTGCTCAGGATATGGAGTCAGTTGCAGATCATGAACCAAATATAAAAATACTGGGTAGAATAAACATGTCTTTAAATTATATTTGTCATGAACACCAAGGTAAAGGAACATCTCTGAAAGAAACACAAGGAATAACTGAAGGATCAGGACTAGAATTAAATTCTGTATTATGCAAGAAAATACCCTTTGAAATTTCCTCAAAAGATTTGATGTTTTCTAGATGCCAAGATGAGACCTGTGTATCCCCAGGGAGCATGAAATCGATTGAGATAATGTCTTTATGTCTGTCTGCTCGAGAAAATTCAGAAACTGATACTAAGATTAAAAAAACTGACCTGAAAAATCTCTTCACACCAAATGAGAGTGAAATGCTGTGTGAAACTATGGAAGACTGCACAGTCCTGCTTGAGATGAAGGAGGGAGGTCTGAGGGATATGAGTAATCCTAGTGAAAGAGACAGTATGCAGATCAGTGTGAAAAATAATATTTGCAAAGATTATCACTCTCAGGAGAATTCTACTGATAGACATTCACCTTTGACAGCAACTAAAGTGAATAGAGAGGAAACTGAAGATCCTTTGAGAGATACATTGGGTCACTTACCTGTCGGGGAGGAATCTAAAGAGATGATTACTGTAAAAGGTGGTAATAGTGCTAATTTGAGGAAGACCCACTTGAAATGCCAAGGCATGCATGCTGATGCTGAAAAACAACAAAGTCAGTGGGTCTTGGACTATATGTTGCCAAAGGAAGAGAAACAAGTACATCAAAAAGGAACACATATGGTTTTGGAACAACGCCAATCATCTAATATGTTGGCTGATGTGGTGAAAAATAAGAGCCAACCTAAGGCTAACAAAAATGAGTCTACCATGATTAAAGAAATCACCCTATCAAAGCCAACCAAGGGCAACATTGCCAGACAGTTTCAGAGGTTGGAAGACCCTGAAAAGGAGGAAAGCTTATGTCATCCATTAAAGAAGGACATTGAGTTGTGCACAGGTCCATGCCTTCCTGATGCCCCTCAGAAAGCACAAGACCCCAGGTCTGCTGGGTATGATCAAATACATGGTGCCTTTGTGAACATTTCCTGTCAGAAAGGAATGCTTCCCTTAAAGAAGCAGCCCCATAGAACATGTAAGAAAGTTGCCTGTCATGAGCCAGTCAGCATGAAGAGGAAAATAAGTAAAATCAGAAGTTCTGCCTTCGGAAAGAGTTCCTCTGATCCCATCCCCACAAAAGCACACAGACTTCTCAGCTCATGTGCTGCATCTGCTTCTGCACGATTGGAATCCAAAACAGTACCTACCAAGAGCTTGCTTAGCCACATACCAAAGCAGAGGACTGTTCCATTCCATCCCTTGAGGAGCCTGAATTATAGAAAGCCTACCAAAGAATTAGCCTTACTAAACAAGCTGTCCATCCTTGCCTCCAAACTAGCCCCAGCCATAAAAACCCAGAAACTCAGATATCGGCGATGTTCCTCTGCACTTCTTCCAGTGGCTAAAAGCTACAAACGCCTCAGATACAAAAGGCTTCTAGATGGATTTTCATATAATGCAATGCAGCTGAATCCACATTTGGCAGCTAGTGGATGGAACAAGAGGCCCGACAGTAAGCCCTTGGAACTTCATTCTCTCGAAGCCATCAAAAGGAGCTTCATAGATTTGAGCAACAAGATGCCATCATTGCTGTTTGGTTCTGAAATCCTCCCGGTTTCTTTTCATATGAAACTAGCCCCTGATTACATGACTGAATCCTCACAGACTTTTCCTGAGCACTGTGCTCCAGCAAGGCTTGCCTTAGGAGAGGCCCCCCAGTGCCCATCTCAACCTCCCAAGTGGACCTTTTCTTTTTTCTTGTCCCACAGTTGCCCTGGGATGGCCACATTCAGGGAAGATACTGGCCTCCATAGTCAGGCACACACTCAGGCTTCTCAACAGACTCTAGCTCCTCTCCAAGACTATGGAGGCTCTTCCATAGTCCAGACCAGAGCAGACTGCTCTGTCCTTGGCCTTCACACACTTCTTGCACTTTGTTCCCCGGGATGTTACCGAATCTGGACAAAAAAACGGAGCTTTTCTAGTCACATGCCTACCATGCAGAGGCTCTTCATGACCCAGTTTACACAGGGCTTGAAAGGGTTAAAGTCTCCAGCCTCCATAGCAGACAAGGTCTTCTGTTCTCTGCCCTACTCTGTGGGTAGGGTATTATCCATTTGGAGCCAGCATGGGCCTTCCTCCTGCTCCTTCGAAATCTCTGCTCTCCATTCCAAGCGACCACCAAGTCTGGGCACCATAAGCAGGTAATATCTGTCCCTTGTTCTTTAAAAATGTCCCGTCTTTGCTTCCTCCCACTGGGGAGAGAAAAGGGACTTTTGGCAAGGCCATTTTCAGTCATCTCTGTATCTGCACTTGAGGTTTATTTTGGCAGATCTCTGATGAGAAAAATCCAACAGTACTTCTTAGGTGTGGATACCCATAATTGTCATATAGAATCTGTACCTGTATTCTGGTCATTCTTTTTTCTGTTCATTTTATTCTTCAAACCATCAGTCTTTTGAATCTCTTCTTTTATCATCATGCCCCCAGTTTACAAAGACCATATGGTCATTACAAGTGAAAGACTGTAAATAGTCACAATGGCTTGTAACTGTATCTTTGTCACAAAGCATATATATAGCAGCATCTAACTCAGTTTTAGGCATGTAAGAATGCAGAATAAGTACTTTTTTTTTTCCCCCTTGGTATTGGGAATTGAACTCAGGGGCACTCAACCACAGAGCCACATCCCCAGCCCTATTTTGTATTTTAATTAGAGACAAGGTCTCACTGAGTTGCTTAGTGCCTCGCTAAATTGCTGAGGCTGTCTTTGAACTCGTGGTCCTCCTGTCTCAGCCTCCCGAGCCGCTGGGTTTACAGGCATGCGCCACCTTGCCCAACCAGAATAAATACTGTTTTAGTAAAGAAATAAATTATGTAAATATCAGCATATCCAGTTTGCGAACTTTTGCATTTCTTTATGCATTTTAGCAGAGAGGTAAATAAATAAAGGGGTTTTGGAAAAATGCTACAGAACCCTAACATTGCTTACTGAAATCAAAAGATTAATTATGTATTATGAGCATTTGTCCTGTAGGTAAAAGAATATTTACTTTTGGGGGGCAAGAGTTACTAGGGATTGAACCCAGCAGTGCATAACCACTGAGCCATATCCCCAACCCTTATTTTTATTTTTATTTTGAGACAGGGTCTCATTAAGTTGTTTAGGGCCTCACTAAGTTGTTTAGGGCCTCACTAAGTTGCTGAGGCTGACCTCAAACTTGCAATCCTTCTGCCTCAGCCTTCTGAGCCACTGGGATTACAAGTGTGTGCCACCACACCTGGCCTTACTTCTCATATCTAGCTTTTAATTTAATTTAAATTCAAGAAGAAGGTGGAGAGGAGGTACTGATAGGGACTTTTTCTACTCATTGCCTCTAAAAGTGCTTTGACATCATGTGTCTGGGCTCAGATAGAAGTTCACTGTTTTTCTAAAGACACTTAGAAGTGTTTTCCAGCAATGTAGAATGTATAACCTCAGAAAACAAGATTTAACAGATTAAATTAATTTATGTTTTCATAAGACATTTTCCTTTGAACCTTATTTTCCAGCACTCTTCACTCTGTAGTATAGGTTGGACAAGCATCAAGCATCTCTACCCACCCACCACTTTTTTTTTTTTTTAACTGGGGATTGAACCCAGAGGTGCTTTATCACTGAACTATCCCCAGCCCTTACTTTTATTTTTTAATTTTGAGACAAGAGTCTCACTAAGTTTTCAGAGCTTTGCTAAATTCCTGAGGCTGGCTTTAAATTTACAATCCTTCTGCTTCCGTCTCCCAAATTGCTGGGATTACAGGAATGCGCCACCATGCCCAGCCTTTTTTACCTTTATTATAAACGTCGAGACTTAGGCACATGAAGGTTTCTTTCTAAGCTCAATCCCTGAGTTGATTAGGTTTTTCACTGAACTAGAACTAGGATCAAGATCTGCTGGTTCCTGATTGGTCAGGTCTTTTTCCCATATTTCACTCTGCCTTTCTTTCCTACTTGTCAGTATTCCTTGAAAAACAAAACAAAAAAATGAATTATCTATTTTTCCTAGCTACTAGGCACATTACTCTTCTGTCTTTCTTTCTTTCTTTTTTTTTTTTTTTCTTTTCTTTTGTGGCACTGGAGATTGAACCCAGGGCCTTACCCTTGTTAGACAAGTGCTCTACCACTGAGCTATACCCCCAGCCCTTTTTATTTTATTTTTTCTTGGTGTTGGGGATTGAACCCAGGGCCTCATGCATACTAGACAAGACTCTACCACTGAGCTGTGTCCCCAGCCCTTTAATTTTGAGACAGGGTTCCTCTAAGTTGCCCAAGCTGTCCTCAATCTTGCAATCTTCCTGCCTCAGCTTCCCAAGTAGCTGGGATTACAGGTGTGTGCCACCATGCCTAGCTTCATTCTTCCTGTTTGTAAAGGGAAATGGGTTGTATGGTCATCATACAAATACCTTGTTAATAAAGCATGTACCAAGTTTGTATTGATTGATTGTGCTAGGGATTGAATCCAGGGGTGCTTTATCACCAAGCTACATTCCCAGCCCTTTTTATTTTATTTTGAGACAGGGTCTCAGTAAGTTGCTGAGACTGGTCTCGAACTTGGGATCCTTCTGCCTCAACTTCCTGAGTTGCTGGGATTACAGGCATGCACTACCACACTCAGCCTATGAATGCTTCTGTAAGTGATTAATGCTGTTGTTGTTGTTTTATCTTTAAATATATAAATTATAATTATAAAGGAATCAACTTAGCAATTTTCTTCTACATAGCCATGTTTTATGTGCCACTTGGCTTTAAAGAAAATGTTTTTCCATACTATTTTGTAAGATTATACAAAATGGTGAATTTTAATAATACTGAGCTAAGTAGTAGAAGATATTTTTAACTTATTTTTTTTATTAACTTATTTTTGTACTAAGGACTGAACCAGAGGCACTTTACCACTAAGCTGTACCCCCAGTCCTTTTTATTTTATTTGTTTTTTAGTTTGAAACAGGGTTTGCTAAGTTGCTAAGGGTCTTGCTAAATTGCTGAGGCTGGCCTTGAATTTGAAATCCTCCTGTCTCAGCTTTCCAAGTCACTGGGATTATAGGCATGAGTCACCAGCCCAGCTATCTTTAATCTTTAATATACATACTCAACAACTTGATGAAAAGGTATAAGGCCCAAATTCACTCTTGTTCCCCTCCTTTCTTTTACTACCCTCTGTTTCTCTACCTTCTTTCCATTTAAGTGAGAAAATAATCTTCTGTCAACCTGCATCTGTTTCAGTGATGGGCACATAAGTTTATTTCTCATGAATTAGGAGGTTTTCATCTTTCTTAGGACTTTACATAATGTGCTAATACCCATGATACTCAGAAACCTTTCCTGTTGTCTCACTCCTCTAACCTGCTGCTTTTCTATTTATGATTCACTTCAGCCACACCATGTTACCATATGTGCCTCTTCCAGGCATGGAAGTTACATATAACACCAGCAGCAGTCAGATGAGGTAAGCCTCTGGCACACAAAACTTCAGTTGTAGGGGTGTGTGTGTGTGTGTAGAAAGAGAGATTCTTGTCTTGGTAAATCCAATCTACCTCTCATAGCTGTCTCTGAGATTCAAATGTGCTATATTTTAAGTAGCAACTAGGAATGTATAATCAACACTTTTTAGTTTTTATAAAAGTAAAAATTATTAACCAGTTTATCATGTCAGAAGTCCCCTCTCAATTCAGGACTTATCACTTAGCCAACTTTATTCCCTGAATGAGATTGATCTTAGCACTGTTTATTTGTTCAGTCCACTAAAAGTTTTCTTCCTCCAAAAGTCCATTCCTTTTTACATTTTTTTTTTCTTAAAAATGCTACAGAACAATGAAATAGATTGATCACATTCTTGTATTTCACATATGTAGACTTAGGCTATATCCCAAAGTGATAAAAAAAATAGGCTGAATGGCGATGTCGTTCCTGCATAGTAGGGAAGTCTTCAGTTCTAGTTTGAATGTTAAGAAAGTGAATGTGCTGGAAGTAGAAAGTGAACCCATCTCATGTGGTTCTTCTCTGGCTTTGTCTCTCTCTCTCTCTATCTATCTATCTCTATCTCTATCTCTCTTTCTCTGATGCTAGGCTAGAGCCTGCACTCACTGCCTTGGTACCAAAGTCTTGCTTGGTAACAGAACCAGCTGTCAGCAAACTCCTGCTTTCAGGCTCTGAGTTCCAAGTTCCTGGGTTTGATGAACTGGATGGTGTGACAGCAGCCTGCCCCCAACCACAGAGCAGCTCTCCGGAACAGAAAGAGGTAAATGTGAAGTGCCAGTGGAGTAAGGCAGTGATGACATTGGGGTCTCCATTATTGACTCACGTTAGGTACAGACTGAGACCCCTGTGAGACTAGACTGAGCCACCTTTAGTTTCAGCAAAGTGTCAGAGAATATGAGTTTTTCTGCTTGGCCAGTAAAGAATGGTTTTTTAAAAATTATTTATTCATCTTAGTTTACTTTTAGAGACAGATTTCAATGTGTTGCCCAGGATGGCCTCAATTCCTGAGCACAAATGAGCCTACTAGCTGAGCCTTTCAGGTAGCTGAGACTACAGGAAAGCACCACCAAGCTCATCTTGGATTGTTTAATTTGCATTGTTTTCCAGATACTTTTTTCTTGGTGATAGCATTTAACAGTGTTTATAGAGACTTGGACCAAAAGAGCCACTTGTGCTAGCGAATGATGGTATTCTTTGTTTATTTTTGGCATTTTGTTTGTTTATTTGTGGTAGGCTTGGGAGTTACCTCCTCAGATCTTTTTTTATTTTTGGTACCAGGGATTAAACCCAGGAGTATTTAACCATGAGCCTCATCCCCAATCCTTTTTATTTTTCTTGTTTTTATTTGGAGGAGGGTCTCACTAAATTGCTTAAAGTCTCACTAAATTGCTGAGACTGGCTTTGAACTTGTAATCCTCCTGCCTAAGCCTCCTGAGCCACTGGGATTACAGCCATGGGCCACCATGCCAGTTTATTTTTCATTTTGAGACAAGGTCTCACTAAATTGCTGGGGCTAATCTTGAACTTGGGATCTTCTTGCCTTAGCCTTCCAAGTAGCTGGGATTACAGGTGTATGCCACCACACCCAGTAGTGTTATTCAATTTTGTAAAATCTGATGCCTTCACTGGTTGCAAATTTTATGAATTAATAATCTCAGTGTCTAAACTAAATGTAAATTCTGCTTTAATAATGTAAAAAGCATAGTTGCTAAAATTAGGAGAGAGAGCTTTGTCATGAGCTACTTACTATGTACTGAGGATGCCATGTTAAGAAAAGGGACTTTGTTTAAAATGTTTTATATCTTGAACATTTTCTTTTCTTTTTTTTTTTTTTTTTTGTGGTGCTGGGGATTGAACCCAGGGCCTTGTGCGGGCTAGGGTGTGCTTCCCAGCACACCCTAACATTTTTTTTTTAATTATTTAAAATTTTTTAAAATTATTTATTCATCTTAGCCCTGAACATTTTTTTCTTAATCCATAAAAACAGGCTGAGCCAGAGAAGAGACTAAAGAAAGTCTCACAGATTCGCATTCGGAAAACCATTCCCAAGCCTGATCCTAATCTTACCCCGATGGGCCTTCCTCGACCTAAAAGGTAAGCTTCTCTTTTAATACAAACTGAGTTTTCTTGTGTATATGTGTGTATGTGTTGTTGGGTATTGAACCCAGGGCCTCAAGCACTACTAAGCTATATCCCTAGTCCCCTGAGTTCATTGTTTTTGAAAATTTTTCAAAAATATAATTGTCATGCCCTGCTCTTAACATGTCATTTTGTTTGTTTGTTTGTTTATTTGTTTTGGTACTGGGGATTGAACCCAGGAGTGCTTTATCACTGAGCACATCCTCTTTATTTTTTATTTTGAGACCATTTCTCACTGAGTTACGTAGGGCCCTGCTACGTTGCTGAGGCTGGCCTCAAACTTGCATTCCTCCTTGCTGAGATTGCAGACATATACCATCATGCTCAGCTCTTTAATGTGTATGTGGGTTTGTGGTGGTGGTGGGGTTTTTTTTTTTTTTTCCCCGTTTTGTTTTTTGTTGTTATTTTTTGTTTTTGTTTTTGGTACGGGGAATTGAACCCAGCAATATTTATATAAATTTTTATCTTGCCTTTGTTTTGGTTCTGAGGATTGAAACCAGGGCCTTGCACCACAGGCAAAAAAGCACTTGCTTTACCAATGAGTTATACCTAAGCTCTTAAAATTCTTTTATTAATCATCCGATAATATATTTTTATTGAGAAATTTTTAAATATTTCTAGTATTGTATATTGAATAATATGTATTTCTAGAATGATATAGATTAAGCATCAGTTATAGTCTTTTTTCTTCCACATTTTAAAATTAGTGCATTATAATGTACATAATGAAGGAATTTGTTGTTACATATTATACATGCAAACATATACAGTATAACAATGTAATTTGGCCAGTATCATTCTCAGCACTTTCCTCCTCCTTTACCACCTCCCATGCATTGGTCCCTTTCTTCTACTGATCTCCCTTTGATTTTCATGAGTTCTTCCCCCACCTTTCTTTTCCATTAAATTCTCTAGATTCCATATATGAGAGAAAACATGATTCTTAACCTTCTGAGTTTGACTTATTTCACTTGACATAATGGAATGTAGTTCCATTTTTCCTGCAAATGACATAATTTCATTTTTCCTTATGGCTGAATAAAACCCCATTGTGGGGTCTAGGGTTGTGGCTCAGTGGTAAAGCGCTCACCTAGTATGTGTGAGGCATTGGGTTCAGTTCTCAGCATCACATATAAATAAACTCATTAAATAAAGGTCCATTGACAACTAAAATTATATATATTTTAAAAAAAAAACCATTGTTACATATACACCACATTTTCTTTTTCATTCATCTGTTGATAGACACCCTGGGTGCTTCTATAGTTTGCCTATTGTGAATTGTGCTGCTATAAACATGGGTATGCATATATCACTGTAGTATGATGACTTTAATTCTTTAGGAGCTACACCAAGAAGCTATACCAAGAAGTCGTGTAGCTCGGTCATATGGTGGTTCCATGCTTGAGGAACCTTCATGCTGATTTTCATAGTGGTTGTACTATTTATAGTCCCACTGACAGTGTAAAAATGTTTCTTTTTCTCCACATCCCTCTCTTGCATTTATTATTATTTGTATTCTTGATGACAGCCATTCTGCCTGGTATGGTATCAGCATCAATGGTATTGTGTCTTATTTTTGTATGTCTGGAGAACCTTGCTTATGTAAATAAATATGGAAGTGAAAAGAGTTTTAATAACGTCAAGTCATTCAATTACTTTAACTTTTTGCAAGTTACATGGTCAAAGATCACAGTGATCTGTCATCATTATATTTGATGAAAGCACTGAAATCATAAGGATTGAAAACCACTGAATCATAAAGATTCTGTTACCCAGGCATTGAAGGCAATTTTTACTGTCTCAGTGTCTGAGAAGGATACCAGATAGATACAATAACTCTCAAATGCCCTAGAAATTTGTATGTTACTGCTTAGATGTACTTTATTTAATTCAATATACAGAAAGGGAGTTGGAAAAGACAGAATTTTTAACAAATTTACCTAAAGATTTCTTTATCTTTTGACAGAATATTTTTCTTACTTTGTCAGAAATATTTTAAAACCCTGAAGTTGCATATTTAGTGCATTAAATTTATGGAAAATCCTTGGTGTGCAATTTAATTGGCAAAGGCAATTTATTATTCAAACCCATCAGTGAAATCATTCTTTTCCTAACTTCTGTTTTGCAATTCAAGTAAGTGTGGTAACTGAACTTTTAAGACAAAAAATACAAAACATTGAAATTAGATATTGAGCCAGGCACAGTAGCCCATGCCCATAATCCCAGCTCCTCGAGACCAAGGCAGGAAGATGACAAGTTCAAGGCCAGCCTGGGCAATTGAGTGAGACCCAATCTCAAAATTAAAAAAAAAAAAAATGAAGCTCAGGGGTAGAATGCTTGTCTAGTAGCAATTACAAAGCCCTCGGTTCATTTCCGTATAACAAAGAGAGAAAGAAACAGATTGTGGAACATACAGGGTGGATTTTTACCATAAGTCAAAATGAAAGTCATAGAATAATAAAACTTTATTAAAACAACATTATAGGGGCTGGGGTTGTGGCTCAGCCGTAGAGCACTCACAAAGCACATGCAAGGCCCTGGGTTCGTGTCAACTACAACTAAAAAATATTTTTAAAAAAATAATGATAAAATAAAACAACATTATAGGGCTGGGGCTGCATGGCAATTATTGTATAATTTTTGGTTTTGGTAATAATAGAAATTGGAAAGTGAATTGAGGAATAATTGAATTAAATATTTCAGTGTATGATTTGATAAAATTTTATAACTTATTTGAAAGAAGTCACTTTAGCTAGGCACGATGGTGCACACCTTAATCCCAGCCACTCGGGAGGCTGAGGCAGGAGGATCATTAGTTCAAAGACAGCCTAAGCAAAAGTGAGGTGCTAAGCAACTTAGTGAGACCCTGTCTCTAAATAAAATACAAAATAGATCTGGAGATATGGCTCAATGGCCGAATGCCCCTGAGTTCAATCCCCAGTATAAAAACAAAAAAACACTTTTTAAAAAAAAAAAATTTATTTATTTTATTTTTTGCAGTATTGTGGAGCAAACCCAGGGCTCTGATTATGCTAGGCAAATGCTCTACCACTGAGCCACATCCCCAGCCCTATTTATTTATTTTTTCATAGGCTGGGGATTGAACCCAAGACCTTGTGTATAATAGACAAGTAAACTGAACTATGTACCCAGCCAATAATTATTTGATAGTTCTAATAAATATTCCAGCCTTTTTTTTTTTTAATTGGTGTTTTAGTCACCCTTTTTGATGCTGTGACTAAAGGATCTGACCAGCACAACTATAGAGGAGGAAGAGTTTATTTGAGGGCTCACAGTTTCAGAGGTTTTAGTCCATACAAGGCCAGCTCCATTCCTCAGGGCTCAAGATGAGGCTGAACATCATGGTGGGAGAGGGTGGCAAGTTCAAGGCCAACCTGAGCAATTACCAATACTGCCTCAAAAATAAAAATTTCAAAGAAGGGTTGAGGGTCTAGGTCAATGAAAGAGCACCTAGCATGGACAAGGTGCTGGGTTTGGTTCCCAGTACCACAAAAAAGAAAAGAAATGTTTTATAAATCTGTTGATACAATAATTATTTCTAATAATTTATCATTTCTCTGTTTAAGAAAAGGCATGTATAAAGCTATTTACTGAATCACTGTAATAACAAAAGATCAAAAACAACATTTCCACAACACAGGCTAATTAAATATAGTACATCCATTTAGAAGAATAAAATGTCATATTGTCTTTTAAAAAAAGAAAACAAGGGCTGGTGGTGTAGCTCAGTGGTGGAGCCTAGCATCTAAAAGGGCCTGAGTTCAATCCTCTGACCACAAAAAAAAAAAAAAAAAGGCAGTACTTTGAGTACCAGAAACCAGAATCCTTTGTATACCAGTGTCAGTGATATTCTCACATAATGTTAAAATAGAGCCCACCTGTCTATAGAATGCTGTATTTGGAATAGTATAAAAGGAATTTTAGGGACATACTCTTTTTCTCAGTGTAGGAGATCAAACTCCTGAACCTCACCATGCTAGTCATATAGTCTACCACTGTCATTACTGCCCCAGCCCTAAATGTTTTTTCTTTTTTCTTATTTTCTTTTGCAGGACTTGGGGTTGAACCCAGGGACGCTCTTCCACCTTGCCTATATTCCCATCCCTTTTGACATTTTTTGAGACAGTCTCCCTAAGTTGCCTAGGCTGGCCTTGAACTTGGAATCCTCTTGTCTCAGCCTCCTGAGTCTCCAGAATTAAATACCCAGCCCTAAATGTTTCTTAACACTTCTGTTTTACATAAACCATTTCTGCAGTAAGATCTACCATAATTTTTACAGAGAGGATTGCTGAGTATTGAACCCAGGGCTTCTCACACTTAACGTACCCACTACCACCGAGTTGCACCTCCAGCCACCATACATACTTATAAATTAGATGCATAATTTCTCAGAAACTAAATTTGAACTCACCCCAAATGCCTGATATCTTGTCTTGGCCTTATTTATAGATTTTCTTTGCTTTAGATCAGAGTATAAAAGCCATTGTCACCCAAGCAGTTTGGTCATCTTAGGGATTTAGTGTCCTTTAGTTATTTTCTAGAAAATAAATAAATAAATATTATCAAAAATTTTAAGCTGTATCCTCCTCAGTTTATATCAACATATCTCAGCATCAAGACCATACCTTGCTGCTAGGGGTATAGTTCATTAACAGAGCATTTGCTTCTTAGTATGTGTGAGGTCCTGATTTCAATGCCTAGCACCAAAAAGAAAAAGAAAAAATATGCCTCATGCAGATAGTTTTTAGTGCCTTCCTCACTATGAAAACTTCATCAATTATGTATTATAGAAATGTGTTAACTTGAGTTGTATTTAAGTTTCTGCTACAGTTTCATCATAAGATGGTGTGGCCAAAACTGCTCTTAAAAATTCAATTGTTGAGATTTGTCACAAAGCCAGTGAGTGGCAGAACTAGATTTTGTATATTTTT